GGGAAGCCTTTGGCCAACTCCATTGTCCTTTGTTGCTCTGTTGTCCAAGTTACAATCAGCGCTATCTGGTTAGGTACCAGTCCCCCATTCCCTGACTCTGATATGACTTCCCAGGCCACAGAGATTGTCCTGCAATGCAATGAAGGCTCTGTTGTCATGTTCTACACTGCTCTCTGCTACATGGGCTTCCTTGCAGCCATCTGCTTTACAGTAGCTTTCCTGGCCCGGAGACTTCCCGGGGCCTTCAATGAAGCCAAGCTGATAACCTTCAGCATGCTGGTCTTCTGTAGTGTTTGGATCTCCTTTGTGCCCACCTACCTCAGCACCAAGGGCAAGTACATGGTAGCTGTGCAGGTCTTCTCCATCTTGGCCTCCAGTGCTGGACTGCTGGGTTGCATCTTTTTCCCCAAGTGCTACATTATTCTTTTTCGACCTGATTTGAATACCAAAGAGCAGCTTATTCTGAAAAGCAAAACAGAAATGTCATTTTAAACCTGCACAGCTTAGCAAGCAGAATAGGACCCATTTGCGTATTACTGTTTCCCAAGACAAATGTTTAAATCAATCATGGTAATTTCTTAGGGAAGTTCATTTTATCTATTTTATATTTTCATTCTAACACCCAATATGTTTTTTTTTAAATCTCTTCTTTTAGAAGCTATGGTAGAATCACAGCTTTAATTTTTACCCCCCCCCCCAAAAAGAGACATCAAATGTTAAGAAATAAATGAATGAAAGAAAAAAGATTACTGCTGATATCAAACTCTCAATGTTTTGTGAGACATTGGCTGTTGTCATCTGATTGTGTGTAGATCTGTGAAATTAATTTGAAATTATCTGTGCTGCCCTCCCCAGCCCCCAAGAGCACTCTGGAAGCCATCCTAAAAGCTATGCACAGCCATTTTAGTGAAGGGGATGGGGTTTGGAAGGCAAAAAATGTTGTATTCAGTGTATAAGATGCACCCAGATTTTCAGCCTCTTTTTTGAGGGAAAAGTTGTATCTTATACTCCAAAAACTATGGTAGTTTCCACCCATTGCTTCTTGTTCTGCCCTCAGGTGCTTCTGCCTGAAGAAGCAATGCAATTTCACTCTATTGCACTTAAACAGACAGAACTCTCTTCTGTAGAGTTTCACCAAACTGATTGTGTTACTCCAGCCCACAGGTGTCAAAGTCAATTGCGTCATGGGTGAGATCGTGACATATCGTGACATTTTTTGCCTTTGCACAGCTGGGATGGGCATGGCCTACATGTGACATACCCAGCCAACAGGCCACCAGTTTGACAGGTCTCTTCCAGCCTGTGCCCCCCCTTAGATCTCCTTAGATATTGAGGTCTCCTTAGATATTGGGAAAGAGAGAGAAAATATGGAAGCAAGATCTATCCCTCTCAAGTCCTGCTTTGACATGGAAAATTTTTGAAGCCAAGAGTAAATTGTTTGGTGTTGTAGCTTCATCCTTTCCTGCACATCTCCCAGTACTACAATAATTCCATGCAGGGAGTATATTTGGATGAAAAAGGAGAGCTAGCAGCTGACTTTGACATCATGTACTGGGTGAAGTTTCCCAATCGGACCATTACAGAAATGAACATTGGGAGCCTGGAAAGAGAGGGAAGGTCAGAAGACAAATTCAAGCTCACAATGGACCAGAATGCAATCAGAAGAGCCATGCAGGTCAATGAGGTGGGGAGGATCTTTTATTTTCCATTTTCACATTTCGTATGTCTTGTCTTAAAATTGGAAGCTTTTTTTCCAATGGAGCCTCTCAACAATGTCAGAAGGACACTAGCTAAGTGAGCACACAGAAGCATGGCCTGCTTTCCCCTCATTCGACATTTTCCTTTTAAAAAGGAAAGAAAGATTCAATGAATCAAGGCATATTTTCTACAAAGGTACCCTGCTCATACAATAGTAGTCAAATAAATGTCCACTTCCCTGTTGGAATAGTGTAGTTCCCCCACCCCAGTCACATGGTTGCATTTTGTGTGTTTGGCAACAGGCTTGCCTTTATAGTGTCCTGCAATCATGGGAACATGATTTTTATCATTTTTTTGCTGGTTTCTGGAATTTATTTCCTGTTCCCACTGCAAAAACCATCCATTGAGCAAAATAACAACTGCATTGTTCACTGAACCGCCCCCAAAAAGATCGTAAAATTGGTCATGGTGACAAGATGACCACTTAACATTTGCCATGACTTGTAACTGTAATTCCAATCAATTGTATAAGATCATTTATTGCAAGATCAAATCTGAGTCAGTCACCAGGACCAGAAGTTTACTCTTGCGAGCTTTTGGACTTGTGCTGGAGCCCATCTTCAGGGAACTTCTCTCTACTGGAATATGTGCTTTGGGGTATTCTATGAGTCATATTTATGTGGCACTTCCCTATTGATTGATTGGTGTGTTAATGGCTGATAATTGGCTGTTGTTTCTCTGTGCTGCCATGTCCTTGGTTCCTGATAAGTACCCGATACACTGTTGGTAAATCAGCACTCCTGTTGACTGACAAGGGGCCTGTTTCTCAGGCTTCAATCATTCAATTATTTATTTATTATGAAACTTATTTGCCACCCATCTCATATCCAACAACCCTGGGCCACTTGCAGATTGCAGAAAGGGGGATATCCAATTTTTTCCAGAGGTGCGGGATTCAAGATCGAAGTAGTTATCCAAACACAAACACCAATTCAAACATTGATAATAAAGGTTCTAATGGAACCAGTTACCAGCAGCAGACTTGAGTAGATGGGTGAAAGGTGGAAGAAGGAGGGAACCTAAGATTTTCTATGGGAGCTCTGCAGCCTCATAGCATCATAACCTTGAGCCCCCTATCTTGTCTTTTCTGATCTCTGATGTGCCTGGCAGGAGCTGTGCTAGGTATAGCTTTATAGCAATAGCACTTATATACTGCTTCACAGTGCTTTTACAGCCTTCTCTAAGTGGTTTACAGAATCAGTATATTGCTCCCAATAATCTAGGTCCTCATTTTACCCATCTCGGAAGGATGGAAGGATGAGTCAACCTTGAGCCTGATGAGATTCAAACAGCCAAATTGCAGGCAGCAGGCAGTCAGCAGAAGTAGCTTGCAGTATTGTACTCTAACCACTGCACGACCGCAGCTCTTTATAGGTCAACAGTGGCACTTTGAATTGGACCCAGAAGTCTTCTGGTAAGCGGTAATGCAAACAGACCTGCATTGGAGTTAAAGCAGCTAGTTGCAATAGTTTGGACAAATGCAGTTTCTGGATAAGCATCTAATATTCATTACAGTAGTGTAGACAGAAGGTGGGAAGGGCATGAGTCACCAGTGTTAGGGGATATTTGTTTAAAAGAGCGCTGGTGGTGCAGTGGTTAGAGTGCAGTATTGCAGCAAAATCTGGCCACAGCCTGGAATTCGATCCTGATGAGGTTCAAGATCGACTCAGCCTTCCATCGTTCCAAAGTCAGTAAAATGAGGACCCAGATTGTCTGGGGCAATATGCTGACATTGTTTACCACCCAGAGAGTGCTGTAAAGCACTGTGAGGTATTGTA